CTGTGAGCTGTAATGCCACGGCACTCTACCCAGGGGGACAGCTTGAGGCTCTGTCTCAAAAAAAAAAAAAGAATTAATTTGGATAGATATATGCAGAGTGCATAGAACAGTGCCCAGCACATTGTAAGTGCTATCTAAATGTTTACCATAATTATGTTGGCCAATGGTCCTTACAGAGCTTAAATGAAGATTAAATAAGATAACAAGAATTTAAGACTTATAGAAAATGTACTATCAAATGATGATATTTTGCTGGATTTTCATGGCATAGAGCCTTACCCAGATTGGACCTTGGCAGGAGCTCACCTGAGAGGGAAGCTAACTGGTGGCCGAGCTAGAGGAGGTAGCCAGTGTGGAGCCATAGACAGGGTTGTGGGGGAGGCATGTCTGGGTGTGCGTGGTTTCCTAGTCCTACTCAGCCAGCCTGAGTGCTCTTGGGCAAGTCACTTTCCTTTTTTCCCTCTGGGCCTCCTGTTCCCTCATCTGTGAAATGGGTATAATGATATTTGCTCAGCTTTTCTCAAAGAGCTATGGTAGTGAGGATCAAAAAGGATCATGGATGTAAAAGTGTTTGTAAACTGTAGAAGATTATTAGCTCTCAGCTCTTTGTAATTACTACACCAAATAAACCATACATGGGCTTTCTGCCTTTGTTTCTCACTTGAGGGCAAGTAAACAGGTCACCCAGGATGCTATAGAGAAGACTCTAATGGAACTGGCTCTAGGAACAACAGGAGAGTTAGAAATTAGACCTTAAGAAGGACTTCCAAAGTCAGCATGAGGAAGGGAAAGAGAGAACAGGAAAGTTCCCAGGCACTTAGATCACTGAGAGGCCTTGTGGCCTTTGTGAGGCTGGGCTGAGGGCTGAGTGAGTGGCCAAAAGCAGACAAAGGGCAGAGGAAGGCTTTAGCCCTAGGGAAAGGAAACCTCATAGGGCAGTTGGTTTTTGAGCACAGAGAAAGTAGAAAGGGAGGGTTGATGGGTCCTCAGAGGTGAGACCAGCATCCCAGAACCTCTAAGGGCCAAGGTCTATCTGGCATGGTCCTGAGCTAGGTGGAGGCCTGAGAAGCCAGAATTCATCTCAGGGTCCCCAGTACTCACCTGTGCCACCCTACTTTCCAGGGGAACCTGTGAGCCAAGACAGAAGAACCTCCCTTTCCAGGGAGATATTTGGGATTGTCTGGAAATTAAATGCAAGTGCTGAACATTTTCTGACATGGTATGGGGCCTAGTGTCTTCATGGAGGATCCCTGGAATTCCACTGGGCAGGGCTAAGGCAGGAGCCCAGGGTACCTTTGAGAGTGTATGGCTGGAGGTCTCTTATGGGCTGTGTGGGCTCTTCCTGGAGCTGTCAAGGTTCTGCTGATTTGAGTTCTCTTGGCTGTCTAGATTGCATCTAGGTCCCATCTGGCTCTGTCTAGGTTCGATCTGAGCTGTCTGGGATCTGTCTGGGATCTGTCTGAGCCTCGTTGAGTTCCGTCTGAGTCTGTCTGGTTTCTGCCAGGCCTTCTCTGTATTCTGCTTGGACCCTGCATGCTCCTCTCTTTAGATCCCAGCTGACTACACCCTCAAGTAGATGCTGTTTAGATCCTTCCTCCTTTCATTCAGGTTTTGGGAGTTAGATAAGGTCTGAGCTCTGGCTAGATTCTTTCTGGAAATCAAGATGAACTCTTTTTAAGTTTCCATCAGGGCTGATTAGTGTTCCAGATGTCATTAAGCTTGACAGGCTCAGATTTTGTCCTGAGACCTCTGTCCCAAGCAGAGAAGAATGTGGAGTCAGGAGTATGTAGCACTGGGGACCCATCCCTGCCGCCTCTCTTTCTGCCCAGCTCTGAGCGAGTAAGCAGACATGAGACTCAGAGGTTGGGAGAACCGGCCCAGCAGGCCCTCTTGAGTGTCCCTGGGGCTGCAGCCAAACGCCTGTGTGTCCACATGTGTCAGTGTGCAGTCCTGCTGTGGGCCTGTGTGCGGGTGAACACCAGCCTGTCAGCGTAGCTCCATGTGGGTGTCAGGACCTATTCCTGTGTGCCTTGTGTATCAGCTCTTCTGTCTGTGTCGCTGGTCTGTCTGTCGGTGGCGGTACTGGTGTGGGTGGGTAAATCCCTTTGTGTCTCTGAGCCCTGCGGGTGGAGGGCTGAGCAGCTGCAGGTTGCAATTGGGAAATCCAAGCAAGCAAGAGTAGGTGGGTGTGAAGTTGGAAGGGGCTGGATGAAAGCAAGTGAATATACCAGGAAGAGCCGGCTGAGAGGAGAGTGCAAGTGGGTGGGAGGATGGAGGCAAGACTGGAGGTCAGGGTGCTGCTGTGCCTTTCATCTAGCCCTCACTGGGCCTGACTCTGCTTGCTCAACTTGGCACTTGCCACTGGCAGTGAAGTGACCTTGCAGAGGGGACATGTCTCGTTGGGTGGGGCAGGAGGGGAAGAGAAAGCCAGTAAAGTGAGATCCGGGGGGCAAGAGTAACGGGGGAGGGACCGGCAGGGAGGTTCAGGCTCCTGGGACTCTATTCCAGAGCCCTTCTCTGAGCCCAGAGCTAGTTCTTACATGGCTGACATTTAGCTGGTTGTTAAAATATTGAAATAAGTCCATACTGGTTGGTCAATAGCAGCTGCCTTGAATACCTGCTCCCTCTGCCACCCAGGTTGATTCTGTATCCACATGGCCACATCTACCCTGAGAGAGTGCCTTTTGCTAATTCCCTCCAAGGGATCTTTTAGGCTATCAGATAATTTTGGTGCCCTTGCCATCTCCCCTGTAAGATCCCTCCCAAGACCCCTTCTCTGAGCCTAGAGGTGGGAGCATCCATGTATTTGTGGTAGGAGAGAGCCAGAGAGCTAGAGACTTGGGGAGGGACTACTCATGGATTCAAACTTCCTTTGCCTCCCAGGCAAAAGACAGTGATGATGAAGAAGAAGTGGTCCATGTGGATCGGGACCATTTCATGGATGAGTTCTTTGAACAGGTAATGAGACTTCTATGTCACCAGCCTCAGAACCCAGGCCTGCCAGCAATTCCTTTAATTCCTTATCCCTGTCTCCCCTTCTCTACTCTTATACCCTCCTTGGCCCTTTATCAAATCTCTGGGTCTGGCCCATTTCCCTGAACTTTGACTGATTCTCTTGGGTCCTCTGGTCTGGCTCAACTACTTGGCTGGCTGTGGCTGACTTTTTGCCTCAGGTGGAAGAGATCCGTGGCTGCATTGAGAAACTGTCGGAAGATGTGGAGCAGGTGAAGAAACAGCACAGTGCCATCCTGGCCGCCCCCAACCCAGATGAAAGTGAGTGCTGCTGCCACATGGCTGTAGGATTGGCAAGAAGGAGTCTGGGGTCCCACTTAGACTTCTCACTCCCTTCTTTCTCCTCTCAGAAACCAAACAGGAGCTAGAGGACCTCACTGCAGACATCAAGAAGACGGCCAACAAGGTTCGATCCAAGTTGAAAGGTGAGAAGTGCAATCCCTTAACTAGGGAGAAAAAGAATTCTGCCCTCCATTGGACAGAACCAGCCTATTTATAAGGAATGTCTACAAACTTCTAGGAGCCAAATTCCTAAATAATGAGAAAGCAAAACAAAATAAAACAAACAAAAAAACAATGAGGAAGCACAAAACCCCCATTTCCCCCCTTGATATAGATTCTGTAGAGAAAGATACATGACAGGGAAATGAGAAAGAGGGTTTCTATCCACATTGCAACTGAGATCTGCTGGTTTTATCAGCATGAGGGTCCACTAGAAAAATAGAGTCTTCCAAGTGGCATTGGTTTCAGTGAGTCCTCATTTCTCCTGAACAGGCGCCTGGCATAGCACTGATCACCCAGTAGGTGGGCTAAGCAAATGCTCTGAATTGGTATCCTTGGCTCAGGACAGATTGGACTGTATGGCTGACATCAGGGGCTGGCAGGCTTTCAAGAGGGACTTGCCAAATGCTCATGCATTCACTCTAATTTAAGGACTTGGGTGCTGGTAATAACCACTTTCCCCCAAAGCACTGTGGGTTGGGAACCTCCTTGTTTGCTGGTGCCAGGGGAATAACAGTGTTACTGTGATGCTCATGGCAATTCAGCATCAGAAAACATTTTCCAAGCACCTTCAGTGTCTTCGACCAATTGGTAGGCTTTGGGGAAGAGGAGGTATATCAAATGCCTAGCCCCAAGAGCGCTGACCTTGATCCAGGGAGATAAGGACAGGAACTCCATGCCCTCCTGGACTCAAGGGGAGGCCATATGTGAACGTCTGATGCTTATTTGTAAAAATAATCCCTTTGTACTTAGGAGAGTATGCGGGAATGGAAAAATGTTCTAAACTGGGAGCATATCAAGTGCAAATCCAGGCAGAAGGAGTCCGGCCTCTACCACCAGCTAACTCTGGACAAGGCCACTACCCTCAGCTTTCTTAACAGTACAGTAAAAAAAAAAAAAAAAAAAAAATAGAAGCAATTTCAAACTGGATTTTTTAGGGGGAAGGGGCAACAAGATCTTTTCTCCAAATGAAATCTTACAAGGAACCCCAATATATAAACATATGAATGTCTGGTTGCTCTGGTTGAACTGGAGTTGAGAGGCCATACTTTGGAGATAAAGGGGAGAGGCCCTCCCCTTCATTCCCTGCAACAGCCCCTGAAGTTCCTTCTCAGAAACATGTGTCCTGCTGGCACATAGTTTAAAAACCTCTGGACTCAATGGTTTCTTTGGGTCAATTAAGTGCTGACCTTGAAGACTCTATAAGACCATAAAGAGGGCTCTCGTGGATTAGGTGTTCAGGAATAGACCAAGAAAGAAGCTAGGGAAAGTGGCAGTGGTTTGGAGAAGCTGACCTTCCAGACCTCCAAAAAAGGAGAGAAAATCCTTTTCTCCATCCCCTTTTCCAGCTGGTGGCATGCATTGGTGGCATTAACCTAGGCTTTTGGTGTGACCGTGAGTAAGCTGTTTTACCCATTTGAACCTCAGTTTCTAGTCTAAAACATGGGCTGATATCACTGAATTCCCAAGACTGTTCTAAAAAGTTGATGAGATCCTGCAAAAGACCCCTCCCTCTTGACTTGGCCCCAGCCCCAAGTTTGACAGTAGTGCCCAGTCTGGGCCTGGAGATTCTGGGATCCCTGAGTATGTGTTCTTGTGCTTTGTCTGTGGCGACTGGGCCAGAGCTATCACTCTGTCACTGTGCTGACAGGGGAGCCTTGGGGTGCCATCTAGGCCCATACCTCCCCCGCTGCAAGCAGAACAGAGAAGTGATATTCTCAGGAATGGCTGGGAGGCCCTGCAAGGTCTGAGAGTACCTGGTGATTCATTCCTGTTGCATTTTTTGATCTTACCAAAAGAGATCTTACCATGGCTCTTTTATAGAAAATCTGAATGATAGTGTCGGGAGTGCATGATCCAGAAGCAGGAATCCCACTTAATCTGTGCCCTTTTCCAGAACATCTTTTAGAAGAGGGAATTCTCTTCCGGGGGTGGTGGCTCATGCCTGTAATCCTAGCACTCTGGGAGGCTGAGGTGGGTGGATAGCTTGAGCTCAGGAGCTTGAGATCAACCTGAGCAAGAGTGAGACCAATGTCTCTACTAAAAAGAGAAAAACTAGTTAAGCATTGTGGCAGGTGCCTGTAGTCCCAGCTACTCTGGGAGGCCAACATAAGATCACTTGAGTTCAGGTGTTTGAGACCAGCCTAAGCAAGAGGCAGGAGATTCACCTGAGCCCAGGAGTTTGAAGTTGCTGTGAGCTATAACACCAATGGACAAGAGTGAGAGACTCTGTCTCAAAAAAAAAAGTGGGAATTCTCAGAATAAGGATCACCTTGCAGAGCAGGGGGAGAGCTGTTTTCTCTGTTGGAATATTCATCTAGAATGCTCCAGGGAAAGGGCCACTAGAACCTGACCCACCTGGAAGTGCCTGCCTTCAGCCAGAAAAATCTCAGGTCAGGTTCACACCCCCTCATGGGGGTTGGGCAGGAGTCACAGCTGGTGGGACTTTCCAAGACTCAGTTCTTCCACCAGAACAAGTAGCCTGCTTCTGTCTGGTGACCCTTTGACCCACGGTCGGACCTCCTATTTTCCCTCAAACGTCAGTCCATCTGTTGATTTGCTGGCCTTCTGCCCCCTCACCCTGGGGCACTATTCTCGGCACTCTGCCATGGGCATGACGCCTCTTCCCAGGCTTGGGGCCAGCCGCAGGGTGTTGACCCTTCAAAAGCCTCGGACCCCCGACGCACCTGCCTCGGGTCTCTAGCCCGTCACTGCCCTCTCTTCCGCAGCGATCGAGCAAAGCATTGAACAGGAGGAGGGTCTGAACCGTTCCTCCGCCGACCTGCGCATCCGTAAGACCCAGGTAGGAGGCGGTGGCCCAGCAGGTGGACCCAAAACCCAGGTGGGGAGGACCCAGGCTGCAGCCAGGCAGGTGGGCGGGAGCTGAGCTCAGACGCGGGGCGTGGCTGCCCCGGCCGGGCGGTGCTACGGGGGTGGGCGGAGCCGTTCGCAGCTCGGTGCCCTGGCTGGATCGCCCCCTGGTTCTCGCGTAGGATGGGGCTATGAGAGTGGGGGCAGGGGACTGTGAACGCGTGGGAGTTGGGATCGCGCCCCAAGCTGAAGAAGGGGCAGTAAGCTAATCAAGCCTGTACTCCCTCCACCCATACACTTGCCTCTCCCTCGTGTCGTCCTCGTTCCCCGCTCGCGCATTCACTGATGCATGTCTGTCCTCCCACTCCCACTTCAGCACTCCACACTCTCCAGGAAGTTTGTGGAAGTAATGACCGAATATAACGCGACCCAGTCCAAGTATCGGGACCGCTGCAAGGACCGGATCCAGCGGCAGCTGGAGATCAGTGCGTGTGCCCCCCTCCCTCAAACTCCCCAGGGCTGCTCAAGCCCCCTGCTAGGTCCTCTCTCTGGAGGGAGTGCCTGCTCCAAGGCCAGGTGGAAGGGTGGGCACTTAGATTCCTGCCCCATCCCACCACCTCAGGCCCCCAAACTGGGGGCGTCCTGAGCAGGGCGTTCTTTCTCCCCACAGCTGGAAGGACCACAACCAATGAAGAGCTGGAGGACATGCTGGAGAGTGGGAAGCTGGCCGTCTTCACAGACGACGTGAGCGCGGATGGGAAGGGGCGGGCGGGCCCTGTTTTGGGAAAGCGTTTGACTTTCCTCCCTAAACTCAGGTCGCACCGAGGTCCTAAGTCCATCCTGGAATAACAAGCATCAGGAAGCCTGAACTGGGAACAGGGGAATTCCATGGGAGTAGAGCAGAAAGGCACCCCCATAAAAACATCAAAGAGTAGTACGTGGGCACTGTTCTTAGCACTTACATGTTTACGTTTACCCACTGACTCATTTCATCCTCATTGTACCCCCACAAAGAAACTCCATTTCACAGATGTGGAAATTAGGTAGGGAAAGATGAAACCACATGCCCAAAGTCTGAGACCTAGGAGCAGAGCCAAGATTTGATCCTCAGTCTAGAGTCTGAACTCTTCACTGTTAAGATATGCCACGTGCCCCCCTGCTGCCGCAGGTCCTTTTACCATAGGATCAATTTGACTACATTTAGAAGATTTTTTAAAAAGCGAATTTTAGTTTTGCTTAAATTTTTCACACTGTTGCCCTTGTCATGATATATACAAATGGATAGGCTTTCCCTGAACTGTGTGGTTCTTTTGTCTTTGGGTGAACTTTTGCCCCAGACAGCCCAGTGTGGCCTCAATTTCTGCTTCTGGTGCCAGATGGCTCTGGTGTAGGCCAGGTTTAAAGTATGTTCTATGACTATCTAACAGTTTTTAGCAAATTGTTATTTGGATAATTGGTCTTTGTTGGATTAGGATTGTACAAATTGATTTTGGGCCAGTGAGCCTAGACCCTCTTTTTTTTTTTTTTTTTTTGAGACAGAGTCTCATTTTGTCACCCATCCCAGCTCACAGCAACCTCAAACTACTGGGCTCAAGCGATTCTCTTGCCTCAACCTCCCAAGTAGCTGAGACTACAGGTGCCCACCACAACGCCCAGCTATTTTTTTGTTGTAGTTGTCATTGTTGTTTAGCTGGCCCGGATTCGAATCTGCCAGCCCCAGTGTATGTGGCCAGCTCCCTAACTGCTGAGCTACAGTTGCCAAGCCCCTAGACCCTCACTTACCCAAAAAGCTTGACTTAGGCTGTCTGTGTGAGAAGGGAAAGAAGCATGGTGAGTGGTTTCATGGAGGCCACTTCCATGGACAAGAGCTAACCCCTGCCACTGGGCCCACAATTATTACAGTGCAGGCTGGTCAGACCTTGGCTGAGGGCTATATAAGCTGCAGATGGACCCTGAGATGGTAGTTGAGGGTGATTAATCCTGGAGTCAGGGAAGACTTCCTGGGGGAGGTGTCATTGAACTGCACCTTGAGAGACAAAGAACTTTTAGACATGGGGAGATGGATAAAAGTACAGTCTGAATAAAGATAGGTAGAGTGGACACTAGCCAAACAGCCATGGATGATTTTGGCTGTTTTAGGATGAACAGGAGATGAGGGTAGAGAGGAAGTCCAGGCCTTGGCTGGTAAGAAGAAGGTGTATAGCTTGGGGTAGTAGGGAGCCCTGGCAGACTTTAGAGCAGAGGAGTGGCTTGATGTGATCAATACTGAGAGGTCTGGGAAGTGACTGGCCTGGTTCAGGCCTGGTTTAGGAGAGGAAGTGTATCTGCCTGTGGGTTGGAGTCTCTCCCTCAGCTTGTGAGGGCTGCAGGGCATTCCTTTATTATACCATCTCATCTCACATAGGCTCCTTGTGGGCACCCTGCCTTCTCGCCTGGGCCTTCTTTGCTTGCTACTCTCTCATCTGCTATGTCCTCTTCCATCACCCTGTCTGCTTTTGGCCATTTCATTTCTCTGGGCTTCCTTGGTATGTATGATAGAGGAAGTCCTGCAACAAGGTGGTGGGCTCTGGACAAGTTTATTTCTTGCAATTTAATACACTTCTCTTTAGTGCTTACCATGTGTCAGGTACTATTCTAATCAATGTACACATAGTGATTCACTCAATTTTCACAACAACCCTACGAGGTGGGCATTATCATCATCCTCATTTTCTAGGTGGGGAAACTGAGAGGCTGAATAATTTACCCAAGGTTACAGTTAGTGGATGACATGAGGATTTGAACCTAGACATTCAGGCTGCAGCCTTATGGGGGTGAAGAGTAATTGTTGTTCTCCTCACATCACCCTAGATCAAAATGGACTCGCAGATGACGAAGCAGGCACTGAATGAGATCGAGACGAGGCACAACGAGATCATCAAACTGGAAACCAGCATTCGCGAGCTGCATGACATGTTTGTGGACATGGCTATGCTTGTGGAAAGCCAGGTATTGGCTCTGCCATACCACTCCGGACCTGGACCTGTCCTCTTCTGGCCCAACCCCCATCTCTCACTATGTGCATCTCCTCTGTGTGCAGGGTGAGATGATTGACCGCATTGAGTACAACGTGGAACATTCCGTGGACTATGTGGAGCGAGCCGTGTCGGACACCAAGAAAGCTGTGAAATATCAGAGCAAGGCCCGGAGGGTGAGCCAGGGCAGGTGGCCTTGGGGGGCAGGTGGCCTGGGAGCCTGCTGGGGGGGCTTGGCTGAGGCCAGGGCTGAGATGAGTGGTGCAATCGGGTGAGAGTTCTTATCTCTGGCTCTGACCTCTTCCTTTTTCTGTTTTCTCTCCCCTCCTTTTCCTCACACCTTCCTCCCCAAACTTTGCCCCATGTTCTGTTTGTCGGTTTCTCTCTCTTTCTCTCTCTTTCTTATTACTTTGTTTCTCTGTCTCCTCTTTCTGTCTGCAGAAGAAAATCATGATCATCATTTGCTGTGTGGTGCTGGGGGTGGTCTTGGCGTCATCCATTGGGGGGACGCTGGGCTTGTAGGCCCCCCCTTTCCTCTCCCAGAGCCCTCCCCCACCACATCGGGAGCAATACCCCCACCATCCCTTTCACTCCATCCCTTGCTCCGGCCTCACCCCCTAAAACAAACCCAGGCAATCCCACCCCTTACTCCACCCCCACAGCAGACCCTGGAGTCCCTGGACCTCACCTTGCCATGGACCACCCCCCTGGCCCCGCACGTAGATAGCAGCAGGCGTGATTATACATGCACACCAACATGCATGCCGCCGGCACATGCTCAAGACGTGTGGACACCCCAGTGTGTGTGTTCATGTGTAGATGTGTGTAGATGCGCCAAATCATCACCCTGCCTTCCACCTCAAGTCTGTGTGTGGTCTGAGCTTCCCCCCTCACCTGGGTTGTTGTGTAGACTGTGGCCAGGTATAACACAGCAGCCTATCGTGCCCCACCCTGTCTTCTGTGAAGAGGTATGTGTGTGTATGTGTGAGACCACAGATCTGTGGACGCCCAATTTGTGTACATGGAATTTTGTGTTTTGAGTGTTTGAACCAAATGCAACAGCAGTTTCTCCACTGGCAGCCCCTCCCCTGTGTTTACTGTACATGGGGCAAGTTGTGTGTGTACAGATACTCACACTCACATTCTCAGAGGATCCAGGTAGGCCCAGTACACACAGGCCATGGCAGACACCCCATGTGACGTAGAACAAATTTTCCTGGTTTAGTGACCCCAGAGCCGCTATCTGTCCTGGTGAGGGGGTGCTTTTGTGTGTGTGTGTGTGTGTTGTGAGTCAGGGTGTGTGGAAGCATTTATGTGTAAATGACCTAGCTTGGCCTGTATATACATGTACATCTCCCTTGATAGGTGATTAACGTGTGTCTGTGTGTGTGTGTACAACTCCAGGATGCACCTGAAGTGTTAATAGGACTTCTCAGATGGATCCCTCCACACTGTGGACTGGACACTGGTTTTGAGTGGGCACAGAAATTTTATTTCTATGCTACCTAGAATATGGTTATGTGTGTGCATGAGTGTGGGTGTGCGCATGCGTGTAGGAGCTTTCTACATAGTGTGTTTCTGCTCCTTGTGAATTCTACACCCACGTGTTTATTTAAGGACATGTACCTTATCCAGGTTTGTTTATCCAGATTTATTTACCCCACCCTCTCCCCAGAGCTGCTGACCAGTATCTGGTGTGGCTGCACACACTGCTATATCAATATTGTGCAACTGAAGCTTACTGCCCTGCAAGGCCTCAGGGCCCCTGTGCGCACATGCCCAGATCCTTATCTTTCTCTGTCTCTGCCCAAGGATAGGCCTGAACCCATGAAAGCTGGTGCACCACAGTATGCTCATACATGCCAAGGCTGAGGAGGTCTCATGAAGGTGGCCACGCCTGGGCACACACTCATGCTGACATCAGGATCTGAGGGTGTGGGTGCAGGATGTGCCTATCAGCACAGGAATGCCTCCTGGAAGGGCTATTTGTAGGGATGTTATTGATGAGGCGAGATGCCAAGGGCTGCCCCAGATGGATTAAAAGCCAGGGCATTGCCACTTCCTCACAAACTCACCCCAGACCTGGAGAAGGCCGATGTTTGTCCCCACTGCCCCATTGGATTCTCTGGGCTCTGCTTCAGGGAACTTGGGTTTGGGGAAACATCATTTTTGGATGTCCTAGAGTAACCCATGTGGCAGCAGCCACTCAGGGTGAATGAAGTCTCAGGCCCATCCCCTGTACACCTCTCCTGCTGAAATGTTGGCAATGGCTGCTCCCCAGTAGAGGGAGGATTGAAGGGGACCCACTGGCCCAGGTTCCTGATGGTGAGGAAAGGGCTAGCTCCTCCCCTGTTGTGTAGACAATATAGGCATGGCTTATAGGTGTTTGGTGGCCGATAAAAGGTGCATGGAAGAGAGGATAATGTTAGAAGCCCCCCTCCATGGCCCAGGAACATGTAGGTTGAAAACATAAGTACTTGAATATGCCCTGCTGTGGGGTGGGGCATGCATGTGCTCAGGGTGAAGGGTCCTACATCATGTGAAGTGTGTGTGTGTGTGTGAGAGAGAGAGAGAGAGGCCATGAAGAAGTGACCCCCCAAAACACAATACCCCTTCCACCCTGACCCCAGACCAGATAGTCAATCTCTCCCCTGCCTGGCTGTGTGGGCCCTGTCCACTTTGGCCTGTATGCATGTCAGTGTGGCCACATGTATGTAAGCCCCAGGTCAGCTGTCCTGAGGAGGGAAGCCTTGCCTATCCATTCTCTGAATGTCCTGCTGCAGGACAGGAAGTCTGTCCCGGAGTCTGGCCTCCACCTTCCTCCTCCAATCTCAGGCTTCTTTGGAGACATCAGAGTAGGCCCCATCACCCAGCCCCCTTCTTCCTTCCTGCTGCCCAGACAGGACCCCCTTTCAGCCCAGGTGTTTCCGAAAGTCTCATGGCCTTGGGGCCACAAGAGAAGAGTGCAGCCATGGCTAGAGTGCTATTGCCTCTGTCAGTGGTATCAAGCCCACAGCTGCCCATTTCTGGGCCTCAGGTGGACCAGGGGATCCCTGAGGATCTGCTGTGCCCCAACTTTCTACAAGTCCCACACGTCATATGATGTGTTTGCTTATTGGCTGCTGTCTCTGTGTATGTCCTGGAGTGCCATCTGGGGGCTGGTGTCTTTTGCATGCTCTCAGACAAATGTGTTTTGCCCACCTTCCATGCACCTAACAACTGTCATGCCCAAGTGTGCCCCATGGGTGGTCCTGGGCCTGGCCAGGGCTCAACGCTTCCCCTTCCCTTTTCCCTGTCCCTGCCTCTCAGCAAGCACACTGCGTGTCCATCCCATGTACCCGTGGGTTGATGCACGCTCTTGCCACGCCTTGAGCGTGTATACATGATGTGTTCTATGCATTCACCCTGCCCCCTCAGCCTGCCCCGCAGAGGACAAGATGGGTGGCCCCCGGCTCCCTTCTCTCCCCACCCACCACCTGCCCGCTGTGCAGCCGTGTGCGTTGGCGTGTGTTTCTGTGTCGCTGGCGTGTCACGTGATGTAGCTGTGTTTGCTGACTTGAGCCCCTGCCCCCTTCTCTGTTTCTCCGTTGGTTTCTAGAGCTCTCTCCTCCCATTCCCCGGAGGGGACAGGACTTCTGGGGCCTGGCTGGGGGCCCAGAGCCAGGCCACCCTCTCCTGTTAGCCCTCAGAGCCCCATTTCTCTCTATTGGTGATCAAGTTGCAAATGGATAAAACACAGGAAAATTCTGGCCCCATCCCCAGCCCTGCATGTCCTGTCCCCAGAACCCCCTACCCTCACCCCGGGCCGGGTCGGGCCCCGTGGGATGGGAGAAATAGCAACCAATCCAACAGCGGGCGTGCTGTGTGCTCACTTCCTTCTGTCCCCACATGGGACGGGCGCCGTGGGGAGGGGGAGACATGTGGTGGGGCCAGGTGGGAGACATGGACAGACAGATGGACACAGGCTTTGGTAAGGATTTTAATCCAGGGCTTGGCCAGGGACAGCATGACTAGGCACCCTCAGGCAGAGAGTTAATAATCCTGCAGGAACTGAATTTGGGTGAAGAAGTGAGAAGAAGTGAAAATGCAGATTTCCTCGTTTTTACTGAGGGGAATTCAAAGATAAGTATCTAAAAGTGAAATGTTTTTTAAAATAATAGGAATATAATCCTCTAAGGAAGGACGAAGGTGGTTGGAGGAGTCAGAGAAACTTCTTCACTCTGAACCAGTGGAGGCCTAGGGAACCTCTGCCCCCTTCTTGTTCAGACCAGAAACAGGGAGGGCAGGCACCATCAGGGGAGCAGACCCTCTCCAACCAGCATCAGACCTGGGCTGAGAGTGAGGACAATCCTGTTCTCAAACCCTGCCCTAGAACTTGGAAGCGTCAGCACATGATACGGTGTCCTAACACTTGTGTATTTTAGATGTGAGGGTTCCAAGAAAGCAGTCTGGCACAACGCCCTCCTTCAGCTCCCAAATGTGACCATCCTTCCCCATCCAGGGGGTGAGGGTTCAGGGCCCAGATGGATGAAACATGATGGGCCTCCAGGTCCCACCTCCACCATCACTGGGCTGAGCCCTCCAGGGCCTGCACCCAGTGGATGGTGCGGGTCCGGCTGTCCTCCCATGAGAACAAGGGCTCGTAGCCAAAATGGCGCTGAGCCTTGTTTGTGCTGACAGTGAAGGTGGTGTTGGCCATCGCCAGCGTGTAGGGGTTCAACAGGGGTGCATAGAGCAGCAGCGGCCGCAACAGCCACTGTAGCAGGGCATTAAGGGTGGCCAAGAGCACCAGCAGCCAGTAAGGCAACAGTGGGCGTGTGCCTACCAGCCGCAATCCACAGGGGCCCAGAAACTCCATGTTGAAGTCCATGTAGCTCTTGTAGGGTGATTTGTCGTAGCAGAAGTACACCTGGCCGCCCATTAATGCTGCCCGCTGCTTTAACTCGCGGGCCACCAGCACATGCATCCAGGCCACATTGCCTGCCGGTGGGGGAAGTGAGGTAGACATACCCCTGAGTGCCCTTTTGACTGTAGGTGCTGGTCTCCTGGGCCAGCCCAGGCACATGCCATGCTCATATGGATGCTGCCCACATTTTCGCAAGAGCCTGGTAAGGGCTGCTTTTCCCTTATCCCTTGAAGCCATTTGCTCTCCTGAACCAACCTATATAGATGCTACTCCTAGTGCTCTAAAGACACTGCCCCTCTCCTCTTCTGGGGAGCTGCCTCTCTCATAGCTGTGATCCTCTCCTTATCCTGGGACACACTTTTTATGTGGACCTTCCCAACTTGCATGGATACTGTTTCCTCTGTGGCCCTTGCAGACAGTGTCCACATAATCATTGGCCCAGGTACAGACCATTGTTTCCTGCCCCTCCCAGAGCCATGTGGGTCTCCCCCCACCACCTCCAGAGCAGGTCCTCTTGCCCTGTCTTTGCCCAGTGCTCACCCACATAGACCCGGCCGTGCTCCACAGAGGTTGGAATGACCCGGAAAAGCCGACCACCCAGGCGTAGGCCCTGGTAGTAGATGTCCTTCATGATCTGGTGGCCTTCACCGTAGATGCCCGTGGGACGCAGGGCACATGTCACCAGGGGCAGCCCCCCATGGACCTGGCAGCAAAAGGCAGGCTCTGCTAAGACCTATGGCTAAAGGCCCGGGTCCAGTGGCTCACACCTTTAATCCTAGCACCCTGGGAGTCTAAGACGGGTGGATTGCCTGAGTTCACAGGATTGAGACAAGTCTGAGCCACAGTGAGACCTCGTCTCTAAAAATAGCCAGGCATTATGGCAGGCACCTGTAGTCCAAGCTACTTGGGAGGCTGAGGCAAGAGAATCACTTGAGCCCAAGAGTTTGAGGTTGCTGTGAGCTATGATGACACAGCATTCTACAGAGAGCAGTAAATTGAGACTCTGTCTCCAAAAAAAAAAGACCTAGGGCTAAATGGCTTGCCCTCTATTCCAACACTCCTCAGGCTTCAAGTAGAGGAGAGGCACCTAGGGCAGAGTCCCATCTCTGCATCTCTCCGTACTCACCTTCCTACCGTTGGCCTCCAGGACCAGCCGCTCAGCCAGGGCCTTGCTGCGAGGATAGGGGTGCTTGTGCACAGCTTCATATGGGGTGTCCTCATTGCCCCTGGTGGGGGGAGAGGGAAGACTCAGTGCTGAGGGGAAATGGGCCTTTAAAGTACTAAGGGGAGCTCAGCTCACCTGTAGAAGGGGTGGCCTTTGATGTTAGGCCCCACAACTTCCATGCTGCTTGTGTATACCAGGAACTGCGTCCCAGTCTGCACACAAGCCTCTATCACGTTCTGTGTGCCTGGTGGAAGAGGGGGACACAGCCAAACTGGGAGAGAGGGAGACATCCTCTCTCCCTGAATCTTTCCCCTTCCATCCCAGGTCCGGAGAAAACCACAAAGGATTGGGTGAAGGTGGGGCCAGGGCTAGCAGTAGGATGGGTTGTCACAGGGGGGAGAGGGCAAAGGGATGAGGGGGACAAACAGGCAAGATCAGTCCTGAGGGTGTTGCATGCATGACTGCAACAGACAGGGAGTGCCTTACCCTGCACATTGACCTCATGGATGGTCTTGGGACTGGCCCTCCCAAACACGTCCACCAGCCCAGCTATGTGGATGACCACATGGGCTCCAGCCACAGCTGCTGTCACCTCATGGGCCTGGGTCACATCCCCCTGGATGGCAGTCACCTGTACAGGACCTAGTGGGGAATGGAGGAGGCCCCACAATGTTAGCTCCGGGCACCAGCTAGCAGCTGGGTTCAGCCTATGCCTCTGGGAGCCTCATGTTCCCAATGTGACTCACTCATCCCACCCACAAGGCTGAAGAACAGAAACAGGCATCATCTTTTCCACCATATGGGTGGGGATCCCGCCTTGGGAGGGGATGGGGAAGAGAGTCCATACCCTCCTCCCTCCACAATCACCTGTCTTTAGTTCCTCCAGCCAGGGGCCCAGGTGTAGGTCAAAGATCCGCAGCTCCTGGAGCTGCGGCTCCCGCTGCAGCAGCATTCGTACCACATGCTCCCCTAGGAAGCCACAGCCACCTGTGACCAGGTACACCAGCTTCTGGGCCTGTGTAGAGCTGGCCATTGCCCAGCTGGGGGGAGAGACATTGGCTCACCTGGGTTGCCTGCTGCCACCTGCCCAGCCACCTGTTACTTCTGGAAGGTGTGTGGAAGCATAGCGATCAAAGAGCGGGCAGGGGCCATAGCTGTAGGCACAGCAGCCAGGCTACCAGCCCTTGACCATGCCAATGGCTGAGTTACTCAGAGGTAAGGCCTTGGGGTGCAGGAAGGGGTCAGGGCTTAAGGTGGTTGGGGGCAGGTTTGGGGGCAAAAAAAAAAAGGCAGGAAAGGGAGACCGGGTAGGAAGGAAGGTTTGGAAAGGTGGGAAGGGCTAGGACTGACGGAAGGGCCGCCTGGGCCCTGGCAATGCCTCTGCCTACCTGTAGCCACTATCCCAGGGCACTGTGATCAGCCACCGGAGGGGCTGTCTACTTGTCTCCTTGCCTGGCCGGCCAATACACGGTCCCCTTCCGCTTGCTCCTCCTCCTCCACCCTCCTGGTTTATTCCAGGAAAAGCCCAGCTCCACCCCTCCCCCCCCCAGTGGCCAAAGGGCGCACCCTGGCGGTCACTCCGTGCCCCGCAGGCATCTGGTTCCAGCCAGGAACTTGGGAGAAGCCAGAACCTGCTGGGTGGGCCCTGAGGGGCTTGGGGGCTGCAGGATGAAGCCAGCAGGGTGACCTCATCCCCACTGCATGATCTCAGTCTTTCCTTCCTGCTGGATTTCCTAGGAGGCTAGAGTCCCAGCAGCAGCTGTGGTTCTAGGAAGGGAAGGGAGGCCTGACCTAGTCACAGCTTTGGCTGGGCACTGGTGGAGGATTTCTGGGATTGTTGTCACTGCAGACTGTCATGTAGTCTAAAGCAATGGTGGCTGGGTCTGCAGGTCCAGGATCCTGCCAGAAGGCCCTGCTACCCACCCCAAACTGCAAGCCACCCACTTTTTCCTCTCTTCATCTTACCCCATCCTTGTGTCCTCAACCCTCATCCCATCATGCCCTGCCCCGAAGATACTGACCAAACACTTTTGTACAATAAAGTTTAATCACAATTATAAAAATGTGGCGTTGGGTTTGCGCTATTAACATATGTACAATCCAGCCCAACAGGGAGGGCCCACCTCCCACCATCCTGGCCTGGCCAAGCCGGAGCCTCTAGACACCAGGGTGGGAGGGTGGCCCACAGGGTCTGGCAGGAACAGAAGATGAGGCAGGGTTCCAGGCACGGAGTCCCCAGGACTGGGGGCACAGGCCCCCCCCCCAGGGGGAGAACATGGCCACTGCCCCTAGAGACCCCTAAACTGGGGAGGGGTACACCCAGGGCACAAGGGGTAATTCCCCATTAACAAAGCAAAAGGGCCGTGTAGCCCCCCAAGAACAGGATCTGTACAGGCCGGCACCCCAGGTTTCCACAGGAAACAGCTGCTGGCAGCTACAAAACATTTACATCTTCTCCGCAAAGAAAAAAAATTAGGGGGTGGTGGGCAGAGGTGACAGGGGAGGCAGAAGCTGCCTCAAGGGACTGAGGCTCCCTCACTGGGCTCGGCATCCCCCAACCCCATACCTGGAGATGGGGGCATGTGGGCCCTGCTGAGCCCACTAAGGCTGGGGGGTGCTGGGAGCTCAGGGCACCAAAGGGGAATAAATAGCATGGGCGCCAGTCCCGCCCCACCTCAGTTAAGAGAGCCACGGCAGCTCTCAGTGCCACACAGACATGGGATTTTGTTGTCCTCCAAAGGGAATTTGTAGTCATAGGTGATCTCCTCATCTACGCCAATGGGCTGCTTGGAGTAGATCACAATCTTCTTCTGTGACTCGATGGTGATCACCTTGGCATAGCAGTTAGGCTGTAGGAGGGAAGGGTGGTGTGAGCCTTGTTGCACCCTCAGGCCCCAGCCCTGCTCCTGCCCCCGTCCAGCCTAGACCCCAGCACACCGTGCAGCAGTGGTTGATGAACCTCGCCAGGTTGCCACACTTGGTAGCATCGATGATAGTGTCATGGTCCACCCGGAAAAGGTAGCTGCTGCCGATGCCCTCCTGCACATAGCGCTTCTCCCGCATGTCGGCCACCATCTAGCAGATGGGATGCAATGGTCACAGACCTGGCCCACCCACACCGCTCTGGACAAACTGCCCTACCACTCTAGAGTCCAGATCTAGCAGGCCTGGACCTGCAGGTCTATCTCTGGCTCCTAGCAACCCAAGGCACTCACTTTCCCTTCACTTGACTTCTTGGGCCTCTTCCCCTTCTGAACACCCATTCTATTATTTTTTTTCCCTTCACAACTGGTTTTGATCCCCAGAGGGAGTGCACCATTCCTGGAGGTACTGCAATACCAGGCCAATGAGTGGAGCGAGGAGCAAGCTCTTCTTCTAACTGCTCCAAAATCCATTTACTACATTGTCCTTGGCAAGAGGATATATCAAATATTAAACTGGTAAGAACAAATACTACACTTGATGTTAGCCAAAAGGCTGAGAAGCAATGGCCACTCATTCTAAGTCACCCCCCAGGCAACTCCAGAGAAATTGGCACTGGTGCACCAGCCAGGAGAAAAGCCACTGGCTCCTCTGAGAACATCTGCCTGGTCTCAGTGGGGCCCCTAGACGGCTGTGGGGCTGAGACAGTTCCTGAAATGACAGTGGACATTTCATCTAAACGCACCCATCTCTTCTCCTAGGACCCTCTTTCCAAATCAGGTACCTCTTGGCTGCCACTGGTCAATGCAAATGACAGGCTATCCATGTTAAGGCCAACAGCCTTGTGTAAGAAGCAGCAACTCTTATTTCTCAGAAAATAGGACAATGAGCTTTCTATACTCTCCTTGGGTGATGTCATTCTCTTCCAGAGCTTCAACTGCCAGCTAAGTGGTAGGGACTCCTCCCCAACTTCCACTTCCAGCCAAAATCCACCTCAGTGGAGCTGCTGAGCATCACCCCCTAGATGTCCCTGGGGTATTGCAACCTCACATGTCTAGATTAGAACTTATCTTGACCACGTAATCCTCCTGCTTGCTCCCATCTCAGGGGGGCCCTACCATACTCCTAGTGGCTAACAGTGGCACACTGTTAGCTGCAAGGGAGGAGGTGAGAAAAGGCCTTACCTCTTCCCTTACCCTGTGTCTCCACAGCCAACTCACAGCCAAGCTATGCAACAACCTACACTCAGACTCTTCTGTCACCTCTGCAGCCACTGCCTAGGCCAGGCCACCCTACCTTGGCCTGGATCTCTGTAACAGCCCCGTTACACTGGCATCATCCTAGACCAGCATTCTCTTCCTACCACAGCCAGAGAAGACTGACCAAGTCCAAAGCCCTCTCCTGCTAAAGCTTCCCAGAGCCATTCCTCTTCTGCCTGGGCCCAAAGTGATTCATGCTCCAACCTCCCTGCAGTATACCTTGGCCTTCGTTCTTCCAACAAGCCACTTGACTCCTTTGTCCTCAAATGATTTCACTACCTCCAGACCCTCACACATGCTGTGCCATTACCAGGAGTACCGTCCCCTGTCCTGGGCTTGGAATTCCTTATCTTTAGCTCTTGTTTCACTTTCATCATCCCAAAAGGTCTCAGGTCCCCTCAGTGTATGCTCCCACTGGCCCTGCCTCCACATCCTCCCTTTTAATACCAAACACCACCCTTTATTCAATGTCTTCCCACTCTCTAAATAAGTGGTTCTCAATCTTCCTAATGCTGCGACCCTTTAATACAGTTCCTGTGGTCATGACCCACAGGTTGAAAACCGCTGCTCTAGATCCTTAAAGGGAGAGACAGCATCAGTCTTCTTTACTGCTGGGTCACTAACACGTGTTTTCTACTACTGATGGGAGGAAGCTGGTTTCACTGGCTAAGTCTTAGAGCCAGAAGGGCATGTGAAGCTTTATCCAGAGGGCCAAATGGCACTTGTGGGCATCTTAACGCTGCTGTTGTCAGATCCAATGCCAGACCAGGGCTGATGTGGAGCCTCACCTGGCGGATGTTCTGACCCACGTATTCAATGACCATCTCGTCAGCCGCAATGGGTTCCATGGCAAATAGACCCCACTCATGGATCCGGCTCCTGCCAAATCGGAGCTTCTTCTTCCGAAACTGGGGGACAGAAGGGACTACATTGCTGGATGCCTCTCACGATCCAGCTCCTCACCATTCTTGAGGTGAGGAGGGTGTTCTGGCCACCAGGATGAGGGTGTTCTGGCCACTCATCCTCATCTTTACTCCCAGAGGACTACATAATCCCACATGGCAGGTCCCCTTGCTTCAGCCTTTCCACTGACTCTCCTACCCTTCCCAAGTCCCACCCCTCACCTTGAGCTGGTTTAGCTTTAGCAGATCACTATCCATAATGGCAGAGGTGCCAATGGCACTCAGTAACCGCCGTTGCTCAGATCGGCGCTCGGAAAGCACACGGTTAGTCCCCTGTGAGAAGCAGGAGAAAGAGAAGGTGAATGACGCTTAAGTATGTAAAGAGGATGCAGCTGGCCGGGCATCAGGGTGGGGCCCTACCTGAGTGTCCACTCCTTCCAACTGCCGGGCTGAGACAGGGCACACATCCAGGTACTTGTCCTTCTCCTTCTTGCTGATAGGGTAATAGCCTTCACTGCGGGCTGAACCTGTCTGGTGTTCTCGGGGCCCATCCAGGGGCCGCCGCTTGCGTTTTGGAGTGGTCAGGTTGGTGAGTGCAGGGTGTTAAGGAAGGGAACGGGGTCTTTACTGGCCAGATCCCTGGACCCTGCTCCTCTCTATCCACTCCAGTCCCAGCCTAAGGAAAGGGCACTGGCTTTCACTGGTAAGCATGCTCAGCACACTAAAGACAGGACAGAGAAGTGAGAAGTCAGTCTCAGAAAAGCTTGGGGAGGCAGAAAAGAGGCATGACATGAAGCAGAGAGAAAAGATGGCTCAGAGGCAGAGGAGAAAATGCCCAGACTGAGCATGGCACAGCAAGTTCAACAGACAGGCAGAGACAAAACAGACACCAGGAGGGGTCTGCGGTGGACACTGCCCAGCTGTGTGACCCCGGGGAAGGCTGTCCCTGCCCCCCTGGGTCTAGGCAGGCCAGCCTCTACACTCAGGATATTCGTGTGATGGACCCAGTGGGTGTCGTTAAGCCAGTCAGCCCCACTTGTCTGCTGCAGTAGCCGCTCATACGTGAGCCGCAGGTAGCTCATGTCTTCCAAGTCCAGGCCCGAGTTCCAAATGTCATACAGGATGGTCATCTGCTCAAACTCGCTGCGTGGCTCAAAGGAGAGGGGTGGTGGGGGTGGGGGCGGGGGTGGGGGACGGCGGCGCCGAGTGTGGGAGCGAAGGGTGCGCCGTCGGCCTGCCCCCTCCCCATCACTGCTGCTGCTGCTGCTGCTCTCAGAGGACTCGGACTCTTCCTCTTCCTCTTCCTCCTCATCCTCACCCTCTTCTTGCTGCTGCAGTTGTTGCTGCTTTGGCTCCTCTGCCTCAGCCACCACCACCTCAGGGGCCTCCAGAACCTCGTCTGCTGGGGAGCTGAAGAGAGCTGCAGGGGCAGGGACCGGCTCCGGGGGCCGAGGGGCTGGTGTGGAGGGCATGGGCTTGATGGCCAGGGCATAGTTATGTTCCAGGAGGATGTGGCTGAGCAGGGGGCTGGGGCGATCTGCCTCATCTGAGGCCTCTGTGGCCTCTGAGTCGTCAACGGTAGGCAGGACAGCTAGCCCACGCCGGGCTGGTGTCAGAGCCAGGTCAGCCAGTACTGCCAGGTCCACTTCTGTCCCTGGTTCACCCTCTTCTTCCTCGGTGGAACGGCCTCTACTTCCAGCCCGGCTCCGACTTCCTCGGGGCACCTCCTCCGGCCAGCTCTTGACCAGAGAAGCATGGTCCAGAGGCAGGTTGCGAATGGTCCGCTCCACACCCCGGGGGATTTTGCGAGAGACTGGGCCAGGAGCCTTGGCCTGTGGAGGGGCAGCTGGGGGAGGCTCTGGGGCTGGCACCTCCTCCACAGCAGAAAAGGAGACCGTTTTCCGGCGTTTTTTGGGTGGGGGCAGGAGCGGGATAGGAGAAGAGGGGCGCTCATCAGGGCGGGGGATCGGAGCTGAGGGCCTAGCTGGTGGCTCTGGAGGTGGTTGGGGTACACTGGGAGGTGGCTCTTCAACGGGACCTGGGGAAAGAAGCATATAGGGAAGGGAACGGTCAGTGCCTAGGCCTGTCATTATGGGCAGGAGACCTGAGGATCAACTGGGCCCTGGCCACTGCATTTCCACATACTATGTCCATTCTTTTCTCAGCTTTTGCCCAGGAAACTCAGACAGACATACAGACACACTCCTGCCTCTCAGCCCCACAATGTCCTCAGCACTAATGGCTCCCCTGACAGGATGAGATTTCACACCCACCTGCTCATTCATTTGCCCAACAAACATGTGGAGAACCAACTGTGTCAGATATGGGGAGAACACACTGAACAAATACACCTTCAGTGACCTCACAAAGGTGACAGTGCAGTGGGAGACAACACAAACGAATGCACAGCCCACATTGCAAAATATACAGCTGCAGGGCTCCACACACACCCTGTATTCCAGCCTTTCAACCAAGACTGGCAGGGACTGACCTACATCCAACAACTAGGTATGAGGACCATGGCAATTTTTGCTAGTTGCTTTCCCTAATGGGGACCCAATTAGCCAGATTTCAACTAAAATATCCATTACTTCAACTACCAACAATATTCTTGCTTTAATGAGGTGAAAAAGATACAATATAAAATGCTGAGGACAGCACTTTAGGGCGCCAGCCCCATATACTGAGGGTGGTGGGTTAGAGCCTAGCCCTGGCCAAACAAACTGCAACAAAAAATAGCCAGCATTGTGCTGGGCACCTGTAGTCCCAGCTACTTGGGAGGCTGAGGCAAGAGAATCGCCTAAGCCCAAGAGCTGGAGGTTGCTGTAAGCTGTGCCGCCACAGCACTCTACCAAGGGCAACAAAGTGAGACTCTGTCTCTAAAAAAAAAAAAGAAGTTGAAACTTTGTATTAAAATATTTTATGAAACATTGCCTTCCTCTTCACCCTTCTAAACAGAACTGGGCACTTGCACTAGTAAGGTGCCAGGAGGAAATCTTCCCTAAGAAGCAATGGTTGAAGCTGAGATCCAAAGGATAAGGATAAGCTAGGGTAAGGATTTACTGTCTTTGAGCACTCTTCCCCCAATGACCCATCCTCCCTGCCCACTGTGTCCTCTGGAAGCCTGGCTGCTAAGAAGAATGAATTCGCCCTCCTAGCTCAGGTTCTTCACATAGATTTCCCTTTGTTCCTGTCCTGAAGAAAACTCACCCATCATTTTCATTTAGGGGACACCCTTGGGGTACCTGTGTCTCCCCAAGTCAACGCCTTTAGGAAACACATAGTTCCCCTTCATCCCTTCATCATGGGGAAAGCCTGCATGAAGCTTTTAGACCCAGCTCAATACCACCTATAAAGATATACCAGACTTCTTTGGACATGGGTTACATCTTCCTTTCAGAAGTGGAGGCTAGCGTGGCGCCCGTAGCTCAGTGGGTAGGGTGCCAACCACATATACCCACGCTGGTGGGTTGGAACCCAGCCTGGGCCTGCCAAAACAAAATGACAACTGCAACCAAAAAATAGCCAGGCGCCTGTAGTCCCAGCTACTTGGGAGGCTGAGGCAACTGAATCACTTGAGCCCAAAGTTTGAGGTTACTGTGAGCTATGACACCACTGCACTCTACTGAGGGTGACAGAGTGAGACTCTGTCTCAAAAGCAAGAGAACAAACAAAAAAAAAACCTTTTACATATATTAACTCATTTAATCCTCACAACAACTCTAAGCAGCAGGTACTACATTAACTCTATCTTACAGATAAGAAAACTGAGAGAGATTAATAACTTGCCCAAGGTAACACAGCAAAAGACAAAACAAAGTCTGCACCCTGGCAGTCTGGGTTGAGTTTGTGCTCTTAACTGCTGCCCTGTGCTGCTCTGGAGGTCCTATGGACTCAGCAGTTTCACATTTGGCTCTATATTCACAGAGCTAAAGGGCCACCAGCACCAGGCTTAGCCCAAGCAGTTATCAAACTTCTACCCATTGCCTCAAGAGACTCTAATGAGGGCCTGCTGTCTTCTAGGCTCTGCGTACCATATGGGTCTCAGCCAGCAGTATCCCCACTCAGAAGCTAGTGGGGCCCCTAGATGTCCACCCTAGCCTTCCAGTTTCATCTCTTCCCCTCTCTACTACATAGGGCAGCCTTCCCCACTGACCCATCCTTCTAGCCCACTATGTCCTCTGGAAGCCTGGATGCTAAGGTAAGGAGAACTAGTTTGCCTTCCCAGCTAAGCTTCTTCACATAGATCTCCCTTGGGTCCTGTCTTGAAGAAGACCTACCAATCCCTTTCATTTAAGGAGACAACCCAGCTTGGCGCCTGTGGCTCAAGTGACTAAGGTGCCAGCCACATACACCTAAGGTGGCGAGTTTGAATCCAGCCTGGGCCCGCAGAACAACAATGATGGCTACAACCAAAAAATAGCGAGGTATAGTGGTGGGTGCCTGTAGTCCCAGATAGGTGGGAAGTGGAGGCAAGAGACTTGCTTGAGCCCAGGAGTTGGAGGTTGCTGTGAGCTGTGATGTCACAGCACTCCACAGCACTCTACCCAGGGGGACAGCTTGAGGCTCCGTCTCAAAAAGAAAAAAGAGACAACCCTTGGTGTTGTCTAGGCAGCATAATTCCCACCTTTCTCCAAGGACTGCTCTGCTGACACCCTTAGATCCATAGGGGCAAGGCCCACCCCTCCCTTCAGGGCCATCATGACTGACATCACTAAGATGCTCACCAAGCCAGCCCAACTAGAACCTTCCCTGAGAATAATGACCTAATATAAAAGTGGGTCTGTCTGTGGCTAGTCTTGGGGGTCGATACCCTCTGTCAGAATGGAGCAGCAGAGGAAGCTGTTTGCAGTTGTAGAGAAAGAATGAACCAGATTGGAAGACAGAAAGAAAGTCCAAAAGGCCCTGTCTTTGGGTTCTATCAGACAGGCCTTATCCTCTAAACAAATCTCTTTTCTACTTAAACCGACTGGAATGGGTTCTTGTTACTAGAAACTCCACAAACTTTTGGTAAGGCCCCGCCTACCTGGAGCCACATCCTCTCTTTTGGAGGTACATGTGGGCTGCCCTCCAGGCCCTCTGCCGATCCCTGCCACTGAGCCGCACAGCCCTCGTCGTTCAGAGACTGAACTTCCCAGTCATGCTCTCTCATTCTCTAAAAACCAAGGGCCTGCCCCAATCTCCTTCTTCTCTCCCACCTCTGCCATTTACCCAGGAGCTTCACCATCCTGCCACACTCCTGACCTTGTTACTCCTAAGAACAGCTCTACCTTGGAGAGCCTTCCCTCTCTACCACCCTTGCTGAATATCTTTTCAGTTCACTCCATTGCACTTTTCAACTTCTCGTCCCCCCATCTCCCTCAAGCCCATCACCCCTTTCTAAATTATTTCTCTATCCCATCCAGACTCCAGGACCATACTTTGACCCCTCCTGTCACAACACCTTCCATATCCCCAAGTCCTCACCACTGCCTTCACCCTGGGCACCTGACTAGCAGCCTTCTCTCCTCCCCCACCTCCCAATCTCAGCTTTGGCAGAGCCTCATTGCCACCAGCAGGCCTGGACAGCTTTCATCCTTATTCCCCACTCCCCTTACTTCCCAATGCTCCCACCCCCTCCCCATGCTCTTACTACAGAGTCAAAAAAGAGGCTTCAAGGCATAGAATCTCATATCATTTATGGATATACCTGCATCACATCCAGAGTGCATCCCCTCCACCTCCCCAGGAATGTCACTTCCCTCTCTCCCAGTCCATCTTCCTGCTCCCTCTCCCTTCATTTTAAGGAATATGTCCAAGCTCACCTACTTTGAAAAGCTAACCCCTCCATCAACCCTGCATTCTCTTCTTGCTGTCTGTCCAATCCCAGCTGGGTAACCTTGAGCTTGTTCCTGCATCTTACTAAGCCTCGAATTCCTCATCTGCAAAATGGGAATAATAAAGATGTGGTGAGGATTGAATGAGAAAATAAATTCTTAGTGCACTAATTAAAGCCAGGCACATAGTAAGTAGTCAATATATGTTAGCTAGTATTATTAATTATGACCCTGCAATTCTTTCTTTCTCAGCAAGAGAAGCCTACCCTTCCAGAAGACTACCTTTGTCATCTCCCTTCACTCCGTAATACACTATAAGTTGGCTTCAGTCTGAACCACTCAACTGAAATTGATAAAGTCACCAGTGACCTCTCAACTGTCAAATCCAACAGACACTTTTCCTATCTCACAACTTCTCTGCGGCCTGATGACACAAAACCACTCCCTCCTTTTCAAAACCTGAGCATGCCTTGGTATTCAAAACTTACCACTCCCTGCTTTCCTTCCTACCTCTCTGATCACCCCTTTCCAGCCTCCTCTGGCTCCTACTTGCCCACTTACCTCTTAAAGGACTTAATGTCTCTACCCCCTTCTCTCTCATTCCATACATTTGGCTGGGGTCTACTAATGAGTTCACATCTACACTTTTCACTACTCTCATTTCCCACCTGTGGGTTTTTCTAGACTTCAGATCTATTAATCCAACTGCTGATGTTTCTACCTGGAGGAATGGTCCCAGAGGCATCTAAAACTCAATTCCAACTAAATTCAACAGTTTATTTCTTTTTTTTTTTTTTTTTTTTGAGACAG